GGGTTCCAGAGAGCAGGTGGTCTTAAGACGCTGAAAACTGCAAGAGACTCGACATCCATGGCCCTAGGGTAGACCTTAGGGCGGAAGGTGCTCGGGTTCCAGAGAGCAGGTGGTCTTAAGACGCTGAAAACTGCAAGAGACTCGACATCCATGGCCCTAGGGTAGACCTTAGGGCGGAAGGTGCTCAGTGAGCCCCAATTCCCGGCTGCTAGTCCCAGGAGCATCAGTTTACCTTCGCCGGCTCTGTCGGCTTGTTGTTCCCCTTTACTTCCCCTGCCTACTGCTTGCCAGAGGCCTTTCCAGGGCGGCCTGGGGGCTAGGGGGACCCGGGACTGCCCTCTCCACCGGGTCCCAGCCCGGGGCCCTATGGGGTTCGGGTGAACACCCTCACCCGGCTGACGGGGTCCCACCCCGTAACGCGTCAGCCCATGGCCTCCAAAATGGCCCCGCCCCGGGCTGCTTCCTAGCCACCCTCTCGTTTGCCCCCTCCTCGTCCGGGGTAGGCGCTGCCCGCCTGTCCGCGCTAGTGCGGGCTGCTGCCAGCCCGTCACAGTATGGAATAAATTTTGTTCTGTTCACCAAGGCATGTGCAGATGTGCACCACCAGTACATACACACGCTGCTGGCTGTGGGTGCTCCACTAATCAGCTGAGCACCATCTGAATCTCTCCTGGGTGGCTGCCCAGGTGTTCAGCTTCCAGGGTGGGAAGTAGAAGACGCCAGCAGTGAGCTGTGATGGCAGAACACAGCATGCTAGGCCATATTTTGGGACGGGGGGTGTTTTTTAGTAGGGGGTGAGCTAACTGTAAAGCAGGGTGGAGGGAAGGCAGGCAGGTGGAAGAGGGCAAGAGGAGCAGCTGTGAAGTGTTTTTCGGGTTAGTAAACTTTTGAAATAGTAAATCATGACAAACTGGGGAAAGTGAGAAGAATTCCTGCTCCACACACGGTTGGGGAACAATTTTTTCCATTATTCAATGAAGCGGGACTGACCGGCTGGCCTACTGTCTCTCTCTCGCTTGTTCCCAGCAGCACCAGAGCGGAAAATCATCCTGGTTGGTAAAACTGGAGTTGGGAAAAGTGCAACAGGAAACATGATTCTTGGGGCCGAAAAATTTATTTCTGACATCTCCCCCTCGTCGGTTACCAAGGAGTGCGAAAGACAGGAAGCCGTTACTCACCGGAGGAACGTGACGGTGCTTGACACCCCCGGCCTTTTTGACACTAAGAAACATAACAACGAGATCTCCAAAAAAATTGGCGAGTCTTTGAAGCTCCTTTCTTCAGGTGTCCACGCCATTGTTCATGTCATACAGCTGGGGCGCTTCACCGAAGAAGAAAAGGAAGTGGCTAGGGAGATACAAAGGCTTTTCAATTTTGAAGCAAAGAAATACATGCTCGTCCTGTTCACCCGGAAGGAAGACCTGGGGAAGAAAACCCTGGACGCGTTCTTAGAGGAGGGCGACGACGATCTAAAGAACCTGATTGAGACGTGTGGACACCGATGCCTCGCTTTCAACAACAGAGCCGAAGGAAACGAGACGTCTGAGCAGGTCTCTGAGTTGTTTGACATGATCGATCGAATGGTGCGTAAAAACGCCGAGCAGCCCTGCTACACCCTGGGAATGTTTAAGAAGGACAAGACGGGACTAAAAAAATTTTGTTCTATACTCTAATTACTGATTGTGGCCTTGTAAGGAAAGAAACGTTCCCCTTTTAGAATGGGGGCTTGGAGACTGGTCGAATTTTGTGGCTTCTACTGTCAAATCATTAGTGTCAGTGAGATTTCTAGTGTGTGTTGGCATTTCTCTTAATTGAAACTTCTGTCACCTTGCAAGGGATAGTAAAACCTGCAAGAATTTTAAATCCAATTTCATTTGCCTGTTTTATTGCTTCCCTTGTAGTTCTCTCTGGGTCAGACCAGTCAGCCTCCCTTGGCTCGCTCGTGCGCGGTTCCCCTTCGCTAGCACGAGGTGTCTGGCTCCCCTCGGCCCCCGAGTTCCAGAGAACAGTTGCACTCACGGGAACACGAGTTTCCAGCCGGAACGACTTTCCGGGCGTGACACAGCCGGGGGGTGGCTGGAGATGCTGGAAAACACGAGTTTCCAGCTGGAACGACTTTCCGAAGTGTGACACAGCCGGGGGGTGGCTGGAGATGCTGGACGGGTTTGTAGGTCCTTCCCCACATGCTGCTGCCCTGAGAAATCATTACAAAACCCAACAGCATGGGAACTGCTTGGAAGCCAGTCCAGGAGTCCACCTGCTTGGGTCACTGAGCCAGACACCGGCGGCCCTTGCATCTCTGGGCTTGCCCCTTGCTGGTGACGGGGTTTCCAGTGAAATGGGGAGTGAACTGTGGCCTGACCTTTTCCCTGCGCGGTGTCACTCTGCCGAACAAAGGTCTCTAGAACCCAAATAAGCAACCGCCAGTTTCCTGGCAACCTGAGTTCTGGCACCGCCGGCAGCCGGCCAGTGGCTGAAACGTGGGGCCTCGCTGCTCGGTCACCGTCAGGACGAGAAATTGGTGACTTGGAGTCAGGGTATTGGGTGAGTGTTAAACCAGTTCCTTGCGCCCCAGGGGCCTCTTGGTGAAAACTGGCAGGGGGCCCGGGTGGTATGTAGGGCTAATCGGGATCCTCTGGGACAGATCTCTGCAGGTCACTGGCGAGTGGCAGGTGGGGGGGACCAGGTACCGTAATCACTCTGACATTGGGCTCCCTCGCTAGACACAAGCAATCTCCACTAGAGAGAACGATCTGAAACAATAATGCTCGTTGAAAAGTCCCAGGTTTTTTTTCTCCTTAGCCTAGTGGACTTGACTGCCCCAAATGTCAAACAAACCAAACAAACCCTACACACTAACCTGTGGGGAAAGACACTTCTCTAGTCTCTCAAATGACGCCCTCAGGTCTTGTCTACACTGGCACGTTTTGTTATCAACTCCTGCCTTTTGGCAACAAAACAGTGAGAGCATTTACACCGCAGTGCAACTTTTGTCAGGAAAAACATCCAGTTTTGGGTCAAAAACTAACAAGGCTGCGAGAGACTTTTGTTTTCCCCTCTCCCTTTATTGTGGACAAAGAGCCAGTGTGGACTCTGCTGTGTGTTCTGTCCAGAGAACTGGCTTCCGTCAGTATCCCACAGTGCCTGCCCTGACGCCTGTGCTCAGTGTTCTGTGATCTCTGCTGCCCTGCAGGCCTGCGTCCCTCCCCTTTCACAGCTCTGGGAAGTGTCTGACAGCCAGTGAGCTGCTGCCTTTGGGGAGCAAACAAAGAGCAAATCACTGGAGCGCTCCTGTTCTGCACTGCCAGGAACACAGTGGCGGGCAGGCTGCTGCTGCCAGGGGAGGGTGGAGAGACGCCGTGATGCTTGGACGTTCCTCAGCACAGAGAGCTCCCAGAGCTAGGAGGGAATCCCTGGAAGTGCAGGGATCCGCTCAGCCTTCCCACAACACTGCCCTGCTGGATGCTTGCCCACAATGCTTTGCTCTGTCGGTCAACAGGGGAGCGGCCATGGAATGTTGACAATGGGAGGCAGAGAAACCAATGTGACCAGTTTTTACTTTTGGCAACTTTTGCACGTTGGCAGCACTTTTGTTACCAAATCTTCCCCGTGCACAGAGGGGTCACTGGTGCTGAGAACGGGAGCATTCACATCAGAGATTACTCCCAAAAGCTCACGGCTGCACCATTCAGTATGTACCTGTGCTTTATATTGACACAAAGCCCAGGTAACCTTGGAGTATTAGTATTTATTAGTATCGTCATCTCAGCAGCTTGCGGAAGTTCGGCCCCGGGGGTGTGGCAGCTGATGTCGGAGACTTGTTCTCTCTTTGACACTATCTTGCCTATTTGCACGGACTGTGCCAAGCTTCTCCGAGCAGAGGAGGAACCTAAAACAGGAGACAGCTTCAGAGTTCCCACCTGCAGGAGCCCAAAACTCCTGGCTCAGTTGGCTTGGGTGGGCGTGGTGTTTCCATGTGCCGTCCAGCTCTGCAGGGACAGCTGGCTGGACAGTCCAGCACACAGCTGCTAGGTGCTGGCAGCTGGGGTGAGGTTGCATTAGTAATGCTGTTCAGGCTGCCCAGTGGGCCTGGCCT